TCTCGAAAACGAAGCGCAAATCAACAAAAACAATTACACAACGATGCTTTTCATGTCAAAACAAGTCAGTCTGCCAAAAATGAGCTCGATCCTGCAAAAAAAAAAAATCAGCCCAAAATGTCACATATGCCCTTTTTGCATGAAACCGTTCAGTTGTGAGTGACAAATTGAACAATTTTTATCTCCCAAATGAATCGTTACATGGTCTGAATTGGTTGGCAACAAGGATGTAAACCATGTTAGCCAAATCCGTCTATTCAGAGCTCCTAACCTGAAATTCCTCATATTAAAGTTAAGCTGTTGTATTTTCTTCCAGGTAAATGTATACCGCCAACACTGGTGGCAGTGTGATGGCCCTTGCCGTAAGAGGCCACCTTATTATGGGATGGTCAGGAGAGCTATGAACCGAGCCCCCTCTCCAAGAGACACATGGTGGGCAGACCATGAACGAACATGTGGTGGGAAATACACAAAAATCAAAGAACCCGAAAACTATGGTGCCAAAAAGAACTCGAAATCAAAACAAGGAAAAAGTGATGCAGAAGCAGGAGCTGTGAAGGGCAAGAGTCATGCACTGGGTGGAAGTGATTCTGGAACATTGCCAAGATTTTTTAAACGAAAAATAAGAGATAGTGATGCTGGTTATAGCAATTCTGACAGTGATTTTGAAACAGGAAAAAAGAAAAAGAAGCCCTTGAGTGATGACCGTGATGAGGTTCCATTAATTAATGGTGAAGCAAGTAAACCAAAGATAAGCCAGCCAGGTTCATCAAAGAGGGCTGCTGATGTAATACCATTCTCTGGTCCTGGTAGAACATTAAATTCAAGCACTGGAGTGCGTAACACTGATAATGAACCTTTGTCTAAACAAAAGGACTTGCAGATATTTTCAAAGCAAAAGTCAAATGGAACTAAGAAACCAGCCATTGTTATAAAAACACCATCACCAACTAAACCCAAAACAAATACCTCTCCGACTCTCACAATTGTGGATGCTTTCCAGAGAGCAAGGGACAAAAGCAAAGGCTGCAACAGTAAAAATGATTTCTTAACAAGTCCTAAGTTGGGATCTCAGAGAAAACCAATTGAGTTGTTACAAGACTCTCCAAGTTCACCTGTTCAGGAAGTTACCATGTCAAGTTGGGATTCTAATTCAAGTGAATCAGTGCAGTGCCCTGTATGTCAAGCATTAATTCTAAAGTCCAAGATTAATCAACATCTTGATTCGTGTTTGGAATTTTGATCATGTCATCATGAATTTGCCAGTCAGCTGTTGGGTTTACAAGGAAAAGGTTTTTACATATAAAATATACATATATGAACCAGAGTATTTTTAATGTATTTTAAAGTGGCTAGGGTCTTGAACAACAGTCACTAAGGAAGTTTTAGATAGATGTTTTTTTATAACGAAGAATAAACTTATGTAGTATAATGATGTGACAGATGGAATTTTAATACAGTCACACTCCATCAAAGTGTTTTGCATTACATGTAGTCTTTATCATCATCATTCATGTACTTTTTGCTTCACAGGTTAACCTTTCACAAGAAGGACTGTTACAGTAATATTATACTAACTTCAGTAATCTAGGAAACTAATTTTTCCCTCTGCATTAAGTGATAATTTAGCTCTGCTTCTTCTAACAAGCAGAGATTGTGTAGGGCAATGTTAATGCACCTGTCAGCATTCACCATTTGTACACATTGCATGGCTATGATGTTCAGTAATCTTTCCACAGGCATCAATCCCATTTATTGGAGTAGCACAACACAGAAAAGGTGTATTTTGGCAAATTGTACTGATGGAGTGTGACCCCTAATTGTTTGTTTAATACAAACTGTTGAGTAGTTACATATTTTTATGAGATTTGACAAGAGAGCGATGTATATTTTCAATAAAATGAAAGATTTTATATTCCTGAGAGCCTCTGTAGTACTGTACTGTTTTGATGTTTTTCTTTAAACAAAGCACTGGATGTTGCTACAGAAATAATTGTTGGCTAGCAACAGCATTATTGTGGTTTGGTATGGTGACTATGGAACATCAAGTGGACAAATGTCTGTGTTTGAACACAGGCATTAGCTCTTTTGACAACTTTTAATACTCACTATTAATAGATCAATAACAGCTATTAAATTATATAAATTTAGTGATAGACCAAAGTTGTACCAAACCAATAAAAACGCTGTCCTGCCTGTGACAATATTGTTTTTATCCACATGCGTGATATCATATTTGAAATCATTTCTACAGTAAATTGTTGGTGTATGATTGCAGGCGACCCAGACATTGAATACGATTAATACATGGCATTATGCAGTTGGCGATTACATTACAATTTTAGCCGTTTATAAGAAAATGTATGAGAATGCTTTGAAAATTACTCTTAATGCTACTTGTCGAAAATGATTTGAATAAAATGGTTTACCTTATGTTTGCATTGCGTTATTTTGATGTCTCTGAGTTCCTGGAGGTGGTTTAGAGCCATTTAGGCGAGTCTTACTTTCTGGCAGTTTGCGTTGGGGGAAGCAAACCGCCAGAAAGTAAAACTCGCCAAAATGGCTCTAAACCACCTCCAGAAACCCAGAGACATCAGAATAATGCAATGCAAACATAAGGTAAGCCAGTTTATTCAAATTATTTTCTACATGTAGCATTTAGAGTAATTTTCGAAGCATTCTCATACATTGTCTCAGCCTGTTGTCTTATAAACGGCTAAAATTGTAATGCAATCACCAACAGCATAACGTCACATATTAATCATATTCAACGTCTGGGCCGCCTGTGATATGATCAAAACATCTTTGGATCTTCCTTGCAAGTCTTCAGCAATCTTCTTCGGTTATCTTCAGAAATCTTCGAAGGTTTACAGAAACTGCACTCGCACCACACAATAATGCTGATAGGAATTTAATAGCTTATGATTGCTCTCTTTTGAAGTACAAAATGAAAGCATTTTTTACCAGCAGTAAAATTGTTTTCTATAAATCAGTTGTTGTTTACTTGTCATTTAAGTTTCTCGTTGTAGCGAGCTGTTGTTCTCATGAACTACATAATCATGATCACCAAATTGTCTAACACAGCAAACTAATTGCATGTCTCTAAGAAGTTGTTGAAGCCTGTTATTCAGATTTGCTAACACTTCTTCGTCCTGTGTGGCAAAGGTCAGCTGCCTTAATTGTTCTAACAAATCCCGGCATTTTTCTCCTGCATCCGCACTGGAAAGGGCTACATTAATGTCATTGGGAATGGTATTTGTGTCATCAGGAATGGTATTTGTGTCATCCAGAATGGTATTTGTGTCATCAGGAATGGTATTTGTTTCACTAGGAATGGTATTTGTGTCATCAGGAAGGACATTCATGTCATCTGCGATGACCTCGATGGGTAACTCGTCTAACGAAGTATTGAGAGTTTCACTGGCAGATGACGGTTGATCTACTGGTATGCTGGTCTCTTGACTTGAGTCACGATTCTTTAGTTTGCCTCGAAGTATGTGTGAGCGGATGTCATTAGCAGTTGGATAAAATCGCCTGTTGGTGGGTTGAGGTAATTCCTTGTCCTTGAATAGCACGTTTTTAACAAAGAATTCCAGCTGATGTTTGACTTGGTTTGTGTTGGTCAACCCTTCTGCTACCAACTCATGTATCCTGTTGATAATCCTCTTATCGACTCGCTGACACATCCCGTCTTCCTATCAAAGAACACCACAAGAGTTACTAAAAACTGTGTTTTGATGCTTGCTTGCTAGTAGCCTTGAACTTTCATCGAAACCTGATTAAGGAACAAGGAGATTCATCCATCAAGAAATGTGGTATTGATGGTTAATACAGATGATATTCCTTGAAAAAGCAAAATAAGAAATCTCAAGCCTAGGCTAACTTTTGATATATAATTATTTCAGAGTAGATACCCTGGTTAACAGTTGAATTATAATACAACAGTCTGCAAAATAGCTTCAAATTAGCCTGTGTTACTAGGCAATGTGTTAAGCAGCAGATTTCACATCCCTCCTTAATCCCTAGCCCTCTTGAAATTTTCATTTAAGTTCTTGACCCATTCTGGGAACCTGTTTTTTTCCAAAAAATAATCACATAAGCCACATACCATTTTGCAGTCTACAAATATCACTAGTTTGTGGTCTACAAATATCTTCCCTTTTTCCTCAAATATTTTAACTTGTATATAATTATAAGTATGCTTAACAATAATATTGATAACAAAGTCTTAGAAGTATAAGAACTGTCTCAAATTGAAAGGAATGTGTGGGATTTTGCATGAAGAAGTGAGAGTTTGAACTAAGGCATGAAGAAACTGTTTGGCGATTCAGTTTCAACTAGTGTCTTGTTTGTTTGTTTTTGTTTGTTTCTTTTTGTTTTCCCGTTTGTTTTCGTGGTTGTTTGCTTATTTTTTGTTTGTTTGCGTGTTCATACCTGGCCAATCAAATGATTCTGGTGATCTGAAGGAGAAGGAAATTGAAAGTATATTCTTCTTTCTGGATTAGCATTTCCTTCTTTCAGTGCTTCCCTCAACATCTTTGATGCTATGTTCTTATTGCTTTTGCTACCATGTGTAATCTATTGATAACAACAACATGTTATGTGTTGCGGTTAAAAATTGTCTAAAGTGGATTTAAAGACATTTCTTACACCAGTTCTATTATTATTTTCCTTTGTCTGCCTGGTTGCCCTTTCATTATTGGAAGCAAAACCGATGCCTTTGCATTTCAGTAGAGCAAAGTTCCATAAAGGGTGGTTTTTGCCAGCACATAAACAACATACCCAAATGCAGTAAGGTACTGTTAAGTAGTGCCTTTGGTTAGGAAATTGTCCTAATCAAACGCTGCAGTTATGTGCATCATATTGTGTCAGCATAAATTACTTACGCTCGTGTGTTTATGAGAACCAGCCCTTATATGACCAGCAAATGGACAATAAAACTTCAACTGAATCAAAATTGACAGGGTGGATCCATTAAAATTTATAATAAAGAGACAATACCGTAACAAGCATTCGCATTGGTTTAACAGCATGGCTGAGATTACAAAGCACAGAGCTCTTTAACGCTCACACCTTATTCCACCATTTTTGTGCAGGTACACGTAGTGTCAGATTGCTACAGATCTTGTATTTTACAAACCAAGATACATTTTATGTGTCATTACAGCTCCAACCAAAATTAACAAGAAGGTATGCACATGGTATGTGTTTTTATTGCCGCAATTCAGAAAAAAGAAGAAAGACAACACTGTCGGCTCATCAGTAAAGCACAGCACTTGCATACAATTCATAACACCATTCAACTGAAGAATGAAACTTGTTTGAAGCCAGTTTATCTACAAAATGAAAACGTAAGTACATCTTTGATCACAAAACAAATAAATATGCCTTTACCGTGCTTTGAGTTATCATAAAGCATGCAAGTGACACCAAGAGCAGTCAAGAAGCTGGAAAGCTGTACAGGTTTAATAAAACAGGATGTGGAAATGATGTTGAAGTTATATTATTTAATATAGTTTATAGATGTTTATTTTCCATCACAAAGGAAAAGGGTGGTAGAACATCACCTTAAATCGTGGAAATGCTAAAATATCTCTCAGCTTTATCTTTGCAGGACAATTTAGTTTCTGTTTGCTTTGGGTGTTTCTACGTTTCTTAACAACGTTGACCTCAGTCTGTGAAGGAAAACATTTTCCAATGATTAAAACAAGCAATTGAGGACTTTAAGGGTGCTATAAGACCTTCAACAATCTTTGCAGGAACTTGGCAGGGACCTGAAAGGTCTACAAGAATCTGCAAGATCTTTGAGGATTTGAATGAGGAACCTATTGAGTAACAGATTTTTGTCAAGACCTCAAAACCCCTAACAATCTTTAGAAGACGTCCAGTGGTTCCCAGCATTCTAGTGACGTCTAGAAAAATGTGGTCCACTTATTCTTCCCAAAAGGCAAACTTGTGTACGAATTAGATTAAAATCCCCACTTCATAAAAATATTTTTGCCAAATCATGCCAAAAGGGTGCTAGCAAATTTAAGGTGGCCGAACACAGTTTTGAAGTGCCTATGCCTAATTCACCATTACTTTTAAACTATTTATGCTTTGGTGCCTGTTTTTTGCAAGAGTCAAGGTTAACCTCAGAAGGGTTTATTCTTGCATTTTGGCTAAGGTGTGTGCTGTTGCCATGGCAATGGGGCTGGTTAAAAACAAGGCTTAAGAACTGGTTTCTGTTTATTTAAAAAAAATCCAGTTGTTAGATATTTTTCATCATTTGCCCACTACGAATTGACTTTCAATCCCTTCTGACAACACTGTTCTAATAAAATTTTGACATAAACGATTTTCATAATTCGCCTTAAATCGTTTTCACTGCATGTTCTGAATTATTTAAAATTCCCTATGTNCTGCATTTAACTGGGTTCTTTCGGTGACAAAGAAAAAGCTGAGAATTGCTGGGTTCTTTGCATTGTTACCTTTTCTAATATATCTTTGCAATAAAAGACTAAAGCCATCAATACACTGCGTCCAAATATAGAGAAAAATAGCACAGATACTGTGGGTGTTGAGTAAATAAAATGATCGCTCTATTGATGGCATGTTTGTTTCTTGCAATCCTTGTGCGCGTGCTGAATTGCATCAGCAAAAGCACGCACGAAAACTGTGTTCGGCCACCTTAAACTAATTTACAGTTGCTATCACTGTTCTATTACTACGTAGCATTATAGGCAAGCAATGCATACAGAAGCTTTCTATTGTTGACATCTTCAAAAGGCTGTAAAGAAGGTCAAAATGAGAGTATGTTGGTGTTTTTATTTCATCATGCAATTGGAGATTTTATTTACCTCTGCTTCCTCTCTCCTCTTACGTTTAAGAGCCGTGTTCCTGTCCACGCCATGCTGGCAGTCATAAACTTTTGAGCCCAAAATTATGAATGGAACTCCATTAAAACTTATTTTAGCTCCGTCTACAAACTGGGAGTCTTCCCAAAATATTCTGTGCGGTCCTTTGGTGTAATCTAGGTGAGAAGCAAGTGGCGACTGAATAAGATTTTTATACCGTGCAGCCTGCTGCATGCTGATATTAAAAACAGCCTGGCAAATTTATTATGAATCCCACTCACCGACAGATCCAAAGTCTTTTGTTGCCTTACAGCATGCAAACTTTGCTGTTGATTGTATTTCTAAATCCTCTATCAGTTTGTTGGCTTCCTCCACAGAAAATACGTATCCAAAATTCCCCCCTAAATGAACCGCCATCTTGTTTTTCCTTGGAACTGGGTACGGGTTGGAGCGTTGGAGCAGGGTTGGAGACTGGGTCGCAAAGAATGCTGGGAAAACAAGATGGCAGACGGACATGACGTTAATTGCAGGAATGGCTCCGAGAAGGCTCCGAGCCTTTTGATAATAAACCGCTGACCAAAACTATATATGCTGACATACTTGCTTACATCATATACTTTCACCACCTTTCATGTTCGTCCATACACCTTCATT